GATCCTCTGAAATGGCAAGGGAAAAGAACTGACATGTTGGATGCCCTGGCCACCAAGCGCCAGTGGGAGGGAGAGGTGCTAACAGTCCTGGGTGGTTTTTTCTCCCCTCGTGTGGCCAGGACAGGGTGGGTGCTGGAGCCCAGGGATATGAGGGTCAGGGCTGCTTGCCTCATCTCCTGATACTGCCCTGGCTTCAGCTGAACCCTGCAGCCTGGCTCCGAGCCAGCCCAGCGGCAGGCTCAGCAGGTCCCAGGGGCGTGGCGGTGGCCAGTAGTAGAGCCGGCCCACACCGGCTAGGCAGGCAACAGAGTCCCTGGACGGCTGAGCGTGCGGCTGTGGGAGCTTCTGCAGGAGTGCAGTCATGAGCCTTTTCCTGTACTATGCCCTCCCCGCCCTGGGCAGCTATGCCATGCTCTCCATCTTCTTCCTGCGCCGGCCTCACCTGCTGCACACGCCCCGGGCTCCCAACTTCCGAATCCGCCTGGGAGCCCACCGAGGAGGTGAGCTGGGTGGGGGTGAGAACAGGCGCCAAAGTGGACAGCAGAGAGAGGTAGGTCCAAGGGGAGGATTCGAGAATCAGGGCAGAGACCAAGAGAGGAGGAGAGCGAGGTGGGAGGGCAGGGCGTGGTCAAGGAAGAAGAGGCTGGCGCAGCCTGGGCTGGCTGGGGAGGTGAGGCCAGAGTGAGGACAGAGCCCAGAGAGGGAATGTGGGTAATGGGTCAGGCCAGGCCCCTTGACCCCAAGCCCCAGGGGCCCACTCCAGTGCTCCCCACAGGATCTGGAGAGCTGCTGGAGAACACCATGGAGGCCATGGAGAAGTGAGTGTATCTGCCCCTGGCCAGGCTGCCACGTGAGGGTGTGCAGGTCGTGCACTGCATCATAGCAAGGGACGCCATTCATTTCCTAACCGGGTGACTGGAACCCCATCGAGGTGGCCTGCACATCCCGCCGTGAACTCTGCCCTTACATTCTCCGCCACCTCCCCACCACCATGCCCATCATCCCGGTCCCCTGCCCCTCTTCCCCCCACTGACCTTCGCCCCCACAGCTCCATGGCCCAGCACTCGGACCTCCTGGAGCTCGACTGTCAGCTGACACGGGACAGAGTGGTGGTGGTGTCACATGATGAGAACCTGTGCCGTCAGTCAGGCTTGAACAGGGATGTGAGCAGCCTGGACTTTGAGGTGGGCCCTCCCCTGATGCCCCATCCCCCACCCTGAGAGTCGCCATGCCTGATGCCGACCTCTAGTGACACCCTTCCTGTCCTCCCCAGGACCTGCCCCTTTACAAGGAGCAGCTGGAGGTTTACTTCTCTCCAGGTGAGAGCAAGGGCTTCAAGCCCTGCCTGGGCCATGCCCGCCTTCCCTGGATCCCTACCTTGGCTTCCCTCTCTGACCCCTCTTCCCACACCCACCAGGCCACTTTGCTCATGGGACAGACCGGCGTATGGTGCGTCTGGAGGACCTGTTCCAGAGGTTCCCAAGGACACCCATGAGCGTGGAGATCAAAGGGAAGAACGAAGAACTCATCCATGAGGTGGTGCTGCAGGCAGAGTGAGGGTGGCGACCGGGGCGGGGAGAGAGGCCTGACTCTCCTGTCACCTCCTTCTCCTCCCAGATAGCAGGCTTGGTGAGGCGCTTTGACCGTAATGAAATCACCATCTGGGCCTCGGAGAAGAGCTCCATCATGAAGAAATGCAAGGCTGCTGTGAGTTCGTCCTCCCCGCCCCCCACCTCCATCCCCTTCTCACTCTAGCAGCCCCTCCTCCTGGGAACTGGAGCCCACCCAGCCTGTTGACCCGAGCTAGAGGGATCTGGGAGCGTTCTGAGTGGCATGGCCGTGGCAATGGAAAGGGTGTGAACTCAGGCCTTGAACACAAAGCCAAGATGTGACTTTGTTTTTTGTTTTTCTTTTTTGAAATAGTCTCTCTCTCTCTGTCACTCAGGCTAGATAGAGTGCAGTGGCACAATCTCAGCTCACTGCAACCTCTGCCTCCTGGGTTCAAGCGATTCTCATACCTCAGCCTCCCGAGTAGCTGGGATTGCAGGCGCACACCACCATGCCTGGCTAATTTTTTAATTTTTAGTAGAGACGGGGTTTCACCATATTGGTCTTGAACCCCTGACCTCAGGTAATCCGCCTGCCTCAGCCTCCCAAAGTGCTTGGGGTTACAGGCGTGAACCGCCGCGCCCATCCCCAAGATGTAACTTGGATCCTGCAGGTACTAGGGCCTCCGAAATGCCCACCATGGCCCCCCTGCAGCCCATGCCTCCTCTCTGCTTCCCCAGAGCAGACAGATCCTCTCTCACACCTCTCCTTGTCTCCCCAGAACCCCGAGATGCCCCGGTCCTTCACAATAAGCCGAGGATTCTGGGTGCTCCTTTCTTACTACCTGGGGCTGCTGCCCTTCATCCCAATCCCTGAGAAGTTCTTTTTCTGCTTCTTGCCCAACATCATCAACAGGTACGAGGTTGAGGGGAGCGGACCTCAGAATAACGCCCCATTGCTTAGGGTCCCGCGTGGAGGAGGAGCCCGGATCTCCCCAGCTGGCTCCCATCAGAGAAAACCCCCAAGGCCCTTTAAGGACAGTGATTCTTACCCAGCGTTCATGAATACTAAGGGAACTGTGAACCCCCTGAAATTCTGTGCAAATGTGTATTGATGAGTTTTAGAAGAGAGGGCTCATTTATCCATCTCAGTTTATCTAGCCTATTTTATTGAATGTCTGCTCTGTCCAAGGTGCAGTTATAATGTCAATAAAACCAATGACGGTGGGAGGAGGTCCTCCATGAGCTTACAGTCTGGCTGGGGAGACATTCATTTATTCATTATATAGCATGGCTGTCTCAGACTCTGAGAAGAAAAGGGCAAGTCAGTGTTCTTCTGCAGGAAGGCAGGGGTTAACAAAGTAACAGCTGGGGAAAGTATCAGGAATTTGGATACTTCTCTGGCACTTAGGCCTGGGCCTGGTCCCTCCTTTTGCTTTTTAAAAACAAATTTTTTTTTTTTTTTTTTGGAGACAGTCTTGTCCAGGTTGGAATGCAGTGGCCAGACCATGATTCACTGCAGCCTCAACCTCCTAGGCTCAGGAGATCCTCCTGCCTCAGCCTCCTGAGTGGCCGGGAGTATAGGTATGCATCACTGCATCTGGCTAATTTTTAAATTATTTGTAGAGACAAGGTCTCACTTTGCCCATGTTGATCTTTTTTTTTTTTTTTTTTCTTAGTCCCTTAAAACAATACCACCAAAGCCCATGTTGGTCTTGAACTCCTCAGCTCAAGCAAGCCTTCCGCCTCAGTCTCCCAAAGTGCTGGTATTACAGGCCTGATCCCCAGGGCCTGGTCTCCCTTTGCTTTCTGACAGCTTCTCTGTGGTGGTCCAAGAGCTTTCTGCTCCCCTCTGTGGTCCAGAGGGAAGTCCCACTCAGCCCCCACAATCCCTTGCTGCAAAGAAGTCATTCAATGACGTTTGTGTACCACCTTTTATGCAGGATTTATAAAGTGTTTTCACATCTTTAGGGTTATTTGACTTTTACCTTGCAGCACCCCAGGAGGTATAGGAATCATGACCCCCATGGTACCCTGGAGAATCTGAGGCCCAGAGAGGTTCTGTGATTTGCCCAAGGTCACACTGCTGGAAATCCAGAGCTTGCGTTTTCCCTGGGTCTGACTCCAAAGCCTGCCCTAGGATACTATAAAGGGCCTCTAAAGTCACCCCTGGAGTAGGATAATTAGGGGCCAACCCACTAAGTGATGTCTGGTCTCAAGAAGCTGGCTAGTGGGCACAGTAGCTCCCACTTTTTTTTTTTTTTTTTTTTTTTTTTTTTTTTTTTTTTTCTGAGATGGAGTCTGGCTCTGTCTGTCGCCCAGGCTGGAGTGCAGGAGCGCAATCTCAGCTCACTGCAACCTCTGCCTCCCCAGTTCAAGCAATTCTCCTGCCTCAGCCTTCCAAGTAACTGACATTACAGGTGTGCACCACCATGCCCAGCTAATTTTTGTTAGTAGAGATAAGGTTTTGCCATGTTGGCCAGGCTGGTCTCAAACTCCTGATCTCTAGTGATCCACCTGCCTTGGCCTCTCAAAATGCTGAGATTATACGCATGACCCACTGCATCGGCTGGCTCACGCTTACTATCCTGACACTTTGGGAGGTTGAAGAAGCAGGAGGACTGCTTGAGTCCAGGAGTTCGAGACCATCCTGGGCAACATAACGAGACCTTGTCTCTAAAAACAAACTTTTTTTAGGCTGGGCGCAGGGGCTCATGCCTGTAATCCCAGCGCTTTGGGAGGCCAAGGTGGGTGGATCACGAGGTCAGGAGTTCAAGACCAGCTAGACCAATATGGTGAAACCTCTTCTCTACTAAAAATACAAAAATTAGCAAGATGTGATTGTGTGTGCCTGCAGTCCCAGCTACTTGAGAGGCTGAGGCAGGAGAATCGCTTGAACCCAGGAGACAGAGGTTGCCGTGAGCCAAGATTGTGAGATCACGCTACTGCACTACAGCCTGGGTGACAGAGCAAGAATCTGACTCGAAAAAAAACAAAATTGCTTTAAATTAATAATAAGATAAATAGTAAGATAAATAAAGAAGCTAGCCAGGCCCAACCAGGAGGACCTCCAGCCTGGGTATCCAGCTTTGGGACTGAGCCAGATCCTGGCCCCAGCACCACCACTGCTCTGCTCTGGGTCTGGCAAGTCCCTTCAGCTCTCTAAGGCCCAGACTTCTTTTTTTTTTTTTTTTTTTTTTTTTTTTGAGACGGAGTTTCGCTCTTGTTACCCAGCCTGGAGTGCAATGGCACGATCTCGGCTCACCGCAACCTCCACCTCCTGGGTTCAGGCAATTCTCCTGTCTCAGCCTCCTGAGTAGCTGGGATTACAGGCATGCACCACCATACCCAGCTAATTTTTTGTATTTTTAGTAGAGACGGGGTTTCACCTTGTTGACCAAGGTTGGTCTCGATCTCTTGACCTTGTGATCCACCCGCCTCGGCCTCCCAAAGTGCTGGGATTACAGGCTTGAGCCACCGCGCCCGGCCTAAGGCCCAGACTTCTTATCTGTTGAATGGTGACTGGAGGGCCACACCCTCAAAGCCTGGTGGTCAGGCTCTCCGAACAATGGGTGAATTGTTCATTAGGACCACTGCAAAGGTTATTCTGGGAGACTCTGGGGGGCAGGAGGGCAGCGCTACCCTGGTCAGAGGCAGGGGGGGACACTACCACCCCATCCCACCTCTGGGACGGGAGACCCCAGGGGCTGACCCCCCACCCCCTTCTCTCTGCAGGACCTATTTCCCATTTTCCTGCTCTTGCCTGAACCAGTTGTTGGCTGTGGTTTCGAAATGGTGAGGTGGGCGAGATGGTTAGGTGGAGTGTCCCCGGAGAGACCTGCTGCTGCCCTTCTCCCAGGTCCCCTCTTATCATCACCTCCCCTGTCCCCATCCCCAGGATGATCATGAGGAAGAGTCTGATCCGACACTTGGAGGAGCGAGGGGTGCAGGTGAGGCCTTGACCACTGCTCCCACTGCATGCGGGCCTGGCAGTACAGTTCTGGTCCCACTCTGCTGCCAACTAGCTGCATAGCTCAGGCAGGTGACTTCATCTGAGTCTCAGTTTCTTCATCCCTAAAATGGGAAAATGGTATATTTAACTCTTCTGGATACACACACACATACACACACATACTTACTCTCTCTCTCTCTCTCTCTCTCTCTCTCTCTCTCTCTCTCTCTCTCTCTCTCCCCCTCTCTCGTTTCTTCTTTTTTTTGTGTGTGACAGTCTTGCTCTGTCACCCAGGCTGGAGTGCAGTGGTGCAATCTTGGCTCACTGCAACCTCTGCCTCCTGGGTTCAAGTGATTCTCCCTGCCTCAGCCTCTGAGTTGCTGGGATTACAGGTGCCTGCCACCACACCCAGCTCATTTTTGTGTTCTTTTAGTAAAGACAGCGTTTTACCATGGTGGTTAGGCTGGTCTAAAACTCCTGGCCTCAAGTGATCCACCTACTTCAGCTTCCTAAAGTGCTGGGATTACAGGTGTGAGCCACCACACCCGGCCACACACACATTTTCTTAACCCGACACTGCCAACATATGGATATGTAACTAGTGCTTTTTTTTTTTTTTTTTGAGACGTCTCTCTCTGTTGCCCAGGCTGGAATGAAGTGGCGCAGTCTCGGCTCACTGCAACCTCTGCCTCCCCAGTTCAAGCGATTCTCCTGCCTCAGCCTCCAAAGTAGCTGGGATTACAGGCATGCGCCACCATGCCTGGCTAATTTTTTTTGTATTTTTAGCAGAGACGGGGTTTCACCGTGTTAGCCAGGCTGGTCTCAAACTCTGGACCTCCTGATCCACCTACCTCAGCCTCCCGAAGTGTTGGGATTACAGGCATGAGCCACCGAGCCCAGCCGTAACCAGTATTTATTAAGGGCTTGATAAATGTTAGCTATTATGATGACAACAATGATGTATCCTGATTCCTGATGAGAGGGGCCGTGGAAAGATGACAGAAGGGAGAAACCAAGCCCAGCCCACCCACCCTCTCCCCTGAGCATTGGCTTCAACCAGATCATTTAATTTATCAACCATCCTTGAGAATGTACCAGGCACTATGGTACTAGGGGTGGGAGCTTACCATCAAGGGCACAGGGAAGAAATGCCATAGGCAGAGGCTGGGCACAGTGGCTTCCGTCTGTACTCCCAGCACTTTGAGAGGCCAAGGTGGGAGGATCACTTGAGCTCAAGAGCTTAAGACCAGCCTGGGCAACATACCGAGACCCCCATCTCTACCAAAAATTTAAAAATTAGCCAGGTGCAAGTGGTTTTTACACCTGCAGTCCCAGCCACTCAGGAGGCTGAGATGGGCAGATCACCTGAGCACAGGGGTTTGAGGCTGCAGTGAGCTATAATTAGAATCACGCCACTGCACTCCACACTCCAGCCTGGGAGAGATAGCCAGACTCTGTCTGGAAAGAGAGAGAGGACAGAGAGCAAGAGCGACAGCCAGAGAGAGGGAGAGGGAAAAGAGAGGGAGGGAAATGGGAAAAAAAGAAAAGAAAAGGGAAAGGAAAGAAAAATGCAGAGACCCAGCATGGTGGCTCACGCTTGTAATCCCAGCACTTTGGGATGCCGATAACTTGAGGCCAGGAGTTCGAGACCAGCCTAGCCAACATAGTGAAACCCCATCTCTACTAAAAAGGTACACATTAGCAGAGGATGGCGGTGGGTGCCTAGAATCCCAGCTACTCAGGAGGCTGAAGCACAAGAACTGCTTGAACCCAAGAGACAGAGGTTGCAGTGAGCTGAAATTGCACCACTGCACTCCAGCCTGGGCGACAGAGCAAAACTGTCTCAAAAATTAATTGATTAAGTAAAAGTAACTGGGCATGGTGGTGCATGCCTGTAGTCCCAGCTAGTTAGGAGGCTGAGGTGGGAGGATCCCTTGAGCCCGGGAGGTCAAGGCTACAGTGAGCCATGATTACACCACTGCACTCCAGTGTTGGCAATACAGTAAGAATTTGTCTTGTCTGTGTATGTATATATATATATATATATATATATATATATATATATATAATTTTTTTTTTAAAATAAAGATGGGGTTTCTCCATGATGGCCAGGCTGGTCTTGAACTCCTGACCTCAGGTGATCCACCCACCTCAGCCTCCCAAAGTGCTAGGATTACAGGTGTGAGCCACCGTGCCCAGCTGTATTTTTAATAAAATTAAAAATTACCATCTCTGCCTACCTCAGTGCCCACTGGAAAGGGCAGGAGGGCAGGGAAGGGGCAGAGCTGCAGGAGCTGAGGCAGGCAGCGGAGCAAGGGGGCTGGGGGAGGGCAGTGCTGGTAAGTGGTCAACAACCAGCTCTCAAAGAGGAACAGATAAAGCCCTGATCTGAGCATTAGTTTTACTGGTTTAAATATTCCTACCTTGGCCAGTTTCAGGCTGCCAACATGAAGCCACTAAATGAAGAATGGGAAGAGGTTCGTGGTGGCACCCCATCATCTATTATTTCCGTTTTACAGCTTCAGCAGACTTAATAACCTCAAGAACAGAGTAATAGGAAATTGATTAGGAAGATTAGGAAGAGATATGCTTTGAGTATTTACTACTGTTTGTTTGTTTGTTTTTGAGACGCAGGTCTGTCACCCAGGCTGGAGTCCAGTGGCACGATCTTGGCTCACTACAACCTCCACCTCCTGGGTTCAAGTGATTCTCCTGCCTTGGCCTCCCGAGTAGCTGGGATTACAGGCACCCACCACCACACCCAGCTAATTTTTGTGTTTTTAGTAGAGATGGATTTCACCATGTTGGCTAGGCTGGTCTCGAACTCCTAATCTTAGCTGATCCACCTGCCTCGGCCTCCCAAAGTGCTGGGATTACAGGGGTGAGCCACCACCCCTGGCCACTGTTGTTTTAATAACTCATTTAATTATGTTTATATAATTTATTTATTATTTTTTGAGATGAAGTCTTGCTCTGTCGCCCAGGCTAGAGTACAGTGGCGCAAGCATAGCTCACTGCAGTCCTGGGCTCAAGCAATTCTCTCACCTTCCAAGTAGCTGGGAGCACAGGTGCACACCACCACATCCGGCTAATTTTTAAAACGTGTTTTGTAGAGATGGGGGGGGGTCTTACTTGCTGATCTCAAATACCTGGCCTCAACTCCTGCCTCCGCCTCCCCAAGTGTTGCGATTACAGGCATGAGCCATGGTACCCAGGCTATGATTTAATTTTTAATAATGGCTGGGTTTAATAACCACTTTGCAAAATTCCTGAGAATTTAACAATCAGCCCCAGCGTACTGCTGCTGGGAGGTCTCCATAGAGGAGGAGGCAGGTCTAGACATAAAATTGTTCAGAAACTTCAAGCCCCTCCCTCCCTGCTCAGGTGGTCTTTTGGTGCCTTAATGACGAGTCAGATTTTGAAGCGGCCTTCAGCGTGGGAGCCTCTGGCGTCATGACGGATTATCCCACAGCTCTGAGGCACTACCTGGACAACCATGAACCAGCTGCTCGGACATCCTAAGTTCAGAGGCCTCACCCTCTCCTGTTTCTCTTCCTGAAAAATAAATATTTGCCTTTCGATCACATCGTTGTGCTGAGAGTGAGGAGTAGAGGCCTGGGTCCTGAAGTTGTCAAGATGGCAGCTTAGGAGGGAACAGGCCAGCCCTGAGGCTGGAGCCTGGGGCTCTCAGGAGCCTGACCCACTGGTTCCACTACATTCCTGTCATCCTAGCACACCCTGTGTCAACCTGGCCTCCACTCTCCTCAGGAATGTCCCCTCACTGCCAACCCAGGTGTCCTGGCCCCCAGCCACTTGACAGCGACAGATAATGGTTCCATTTTCCTGGGGCCATCAACAGCCCAGGCACAGGGCAGGGGACTTGATCTCTCCCATGTCTTGCCCTGTGAGCTTCCTCCTCGGGCTGCAGAGGATGGGCCGGGGTGGGACCGCCCCTCTGCTGCCTCCGCCATTCCAACCTTCTCCAGAAGCTCCCAGAACGCCTGTGCCCTCTCCAGCCCCAGGGCCACATTCACTGAATGAACTACACATTCACATTTCACAGACACTTACTGAGCGCCTCCTCTAGGCCAGGCCGGGCCCGCTGCAGTGAGAAAGACAAGCGTAAGAACTGCAGAAGCGTGTTGAAACAGACATGCCCTGAGATCAGACCTAACCCAGCCTGGAGGACAGGGGCATCCGAGGGGTGCCTGGAGGGAGGTGATGTAGGAATTGCCTGGTTCGAGGCCCTGGCTGCCAGGGGGGATGCACCCCTTTGGCTCTTCCCTGCTGAGGTGAACCGAGTGTGTCCCTGGCGCGCTGGCAAAGGCCGTGGAATGGGCCCACCCTGAGAATTCCAGCTTCGCCTCGTACCAGCTGGATAACCTGGGGAGCCGCGAGCCCTCCCTGGGCCTCAGCCCCTGGAACAGTGGAGCCAACGGGAGAAACGGCCTCACCGGATTGATGCGGGGATTGAGCAGGGCATGGGCGGCGGGCAAACGCGGGTTATTATGACTCTACTCCTCCGGGCGTGCGTCCCAGCGCCATCCCATTCCCCGCCCCGCGCCCGGCCTAGACCCTCCGACCCCGCCCCTGCGCGGACCGCGAGCAGGAATGCGAGCAGGCCCGGGGCGCGCGGACCGCCGCCGCATTTCCGGGCCGGCGGGTGCGGGCGGCGGGGGAGGGGCAGCCAGGGCCTGCGCCGGCGGCCGAGTGACGCGCCCCCTCATTTGCATGCGGCGCGCCCATTGGCCACGGCGGCCGCCGGGACGGGAGGCGGGTCCCCTCCCCCTCCCGCCGCAGCGGCGGCAGCAGCTGGGCTCGGTGTAAACAAGTCCAGGCGCCTGCGAACCCGGGCCGGGGGGGACGGCGCCCGCCAGGAGCGCCCCCCAGTCCCAGGCCAGCCCACCCCGGCGGACCGGGCCCAGCGCGCCCAGGCGAGGTGAGGCCCCCGCCGTCAGGGCTGCGCGTCGCCCCGCGCCCCCGCCCCTGGCGTCCGCCCCCACCCCCGCGCCCCAGGTGAGCCCCGGGGTCCAGGTAAGGCTCCGCGATGCAGGTAAGAGCCCCTGGGCGTAGAGGAGGCCTCGGCGCCCGCAGGTGAGAGCCCCTCCCCTCCTAGGTGACCCTCCACCCTCACGGCGAGGCCTCCCGCCCCCTCCAGGTGGGGGACCCTCCCGCCGATGAACCCCATAAACCCCCAGTGAACCCCCACTGCCCTCCAGAGGAAGTTGCAAGGACCAACCAATGCCTACCCGCCTATGCTCCCCTGAAACTGGGAACTGACAGCCCAGCCCCTCCAAAGCCCCTTCTTCCAGCTGCAGTGCCAGGTCAGCAAGGGTGAGGCAGGAAGCAAGCGGGTGACTCACCCTGGGCTCCTCCGAGCCTCAGTTTCCCCATTGTTGCAACCTGAGGCCTCCTCACTGAGTCAAACGGAGAGCCTCTGGTCCCTGGAGAGGCTGCTGCCTCTGGGGAAAGGAGAGAGCAGCCGAGTGTGACAGAGCGAGTCCCCACGGCTCTGGGAGTGCCTTGCATGTGTGTGGCCCAGGTCCTGACAGCCCACCTACTCCCTCCCTGGCAGGCACTGGGCTCCCTCTGCTCCCCGTGGGCCGCTCCCCGCGTGGGGCCACTGCCCCCGGCCCCCGCCATGGTGCGGATTTCAAAGCCCAAGACGTTTCAGGCCTACTTGGATGATTGTCACCGGAGGTATAGCTGTGCCCACTGCCGCGCTCACCTGGCCAACCACGACGACCTCATCTCCAAGGTAATCAAGCAGGCCACAGTGGGGCTGGAAGTTATAGGGGCTGCCTGGCAGCTCCCCACCGGCAGCCCTGACCCCCTCCTCTCTTCCCACCCCCCCACCCTTTAGTCCTTCCAGGGCAGTCAGGGGCGTGCCTACCTCTTCAACTCTGTGTGAGTATCTGGCCTCCCTTCTTGCTTTCCCTGACCTCTGTTGTGACCTGTGACCCCTGGCATCCTGCTGAGACTCCCAGAATTCCCCGGTGCAGGCAGGAAGCTGTAAGCATCCTCTGTTGGATGCTCAGGACAGGCATAGTGCTTGAGGGGGGCCCCTGTGATGTCAGGACCCTCCCTGGGACTGCCCTATGTCCTCACAGGGTGAACGTGGGCTGCGGGCCAGCCGAGGAGCGGGTGCTGCTGACCGGCCTCCATGCTGTCGCCGACATCCACTGCGAGAACTGCAAGACCACTTTGGGCTGGAAATATGTGAGTCAGCCACCTTTGACCCCAGGCTAGCCTTTGATCTGACCTTCCAACACCTCCTCCAGACAAGCAGTCATCCGATAACCTTTCAGATTGCATAGGCCCAGCTCACACAAGTCAGACCATCTTTTCATCCCTGACCACGTTCTCTTCTCTCGCACCCTGCAAGGGCTGTAAAATTTTTCTCTTAACCCATCCCTCCTCTCCCAGGCACTTGCATCCCCATTTGAGAGTCAGGATATCATCAGAGTCACCATTTATTGAATGCTTATGTGCCGTGCACTGTTGTGTGCTTGGCATCTATTATTTCATTCAATCATTGCAGCGATCCTGTAGGTAGAAGCTATTATTATCTCTACAGAAGAAGACAGGGAGGCCCAGAGATGTTAGGTAACTTGGCCAAGATCACACAACTGGTAAGTAACAGAATAGGGACCACAATCCGAGTTGGTTGGTGTTTTTTCTTTGTTTTTTTGTTTGTTTGTTTTTTTCACTGCAAACCCTTGGCCACCAGCTTATATTGTCATTCAGAGGATTAGAAAAATTGCCCCAGACTCCACAACAACCTTGAGCTTGGATTCACTAGCCTCCCTTTCCATAGCCCTCGCTGCCACTGCTGCTGTCCAGGGTCTGATTTCATTACCCTGAGTCTCATTTCCTTATCGGTCAGTGGAAGATAAAGCCACTGCCTCGCACCCAGGATTGTTACAGGGATCAGATTAGATGTGGCAAACGAAGATGCTTTCGGGACACTGCAAGGGACAGAATTCTTCAGGCGTCGCTTGGAGCTGTGGTGCCTCTGTGAGGTGGATGCCCCAGGCAGAGCCAGCCAGCCAGCCCTGACTTGAGCTTACCACTGACCCTGCCACAGATTGGCTCTCTCTCTGGACAGGTGGCTTGGCCACTCTGGACCTCTATCAAATAAAGAGCTGGCCTAGACCAGAGGTCAAAAACTCAAGTGCCTGCAAGGCCAAGCAGATACTGTAGATGTGTAAAGGGCAGCATAGATTTGAGGGGCTGGGGGTTGAGGGCAGGCTGGGGCAAACTAGAGTGAGCAAGGCCTGCATATATATGTGTGTGCATGTATATATATTTTATTAATTTTTTTTTGAGACGGAGTTTCGTTCTTGTCGCCCAGGCTGGAGTGCAATGGCGTGATTTTGGCTCACCACAACCTCTGCCTCCCGGGTTCAAGTGATTCTCCTGCCTCAGCCTCCCGAGTAGCTGGGATTACAGGCATGTGCCACCACGCCCAGCTAATTTTGTATTTTTAGTAGACACAGGGTTTCTCCGTGTTGGTCAGGCTGGTCTCGAACTCCCGACCTCAGGTGATCCGCCTGCCTTGGCCTCCCAAAGTGTTGGGATTACAAGCATGAGCCACCGTACCCAGCCTGGCCTGCCTATATTTTAATACTTTAAAGTTATTTTTATTAAACCCTCTGCTGTCCAAACATAACACATGTTATAGACCAAAATGGCCATGAAGCCACCAGTTTGCAAACTCTGAACTGTGAAATCTTTTAGCCACTTCCCTGTCTTCTTTGTTGGAGCCATCATTAGTACTTAAAAAGTCCCTTCAAGTCAGGAAGTTCTGTTCTACGTATGAGAAACACAGCCATGCCTGTCCGGTCCACAGTTTCCTCATATGTAAAATGGGGCCACTCCTGTCCACTCCCCAACCCCTGTGCCTTGTGGTGAGACTGTTGCTCCGGGGATGACGGTCCCGCCCCTCCTTTTAGGAACAGGCCTTTGAGAGCAGCCAGAAGTACAAAGAGGGGAAGTACATCATTGAACTCAACCACATGATCAAAGACAACGGCTGGGACTGACCCCAGCTTCCCGACGCATGTGGCTCCAGCCCGGCCTGGCCGCCAGGGAGCGCCACCGGCTTCCCTCCGCCCGAAGGGAGCTCTGGACCCTCAGGGCCCCTGCAGAGGACGGATCCGGCTCCTGTACATATATTTTATTGCATGCACTGTGACCTTGGGGGGAGATCAGAAGGGGGACGACGCCCCCGCACCTCCTGCGATCTGGCTGGCTTGGATCTCGTTTTTAACCCCTTCCTACCCCGCCTGCCCTATAGATATGGCCTGTGTGCTGCTCCCCTGGCCCCAGTGCACTGTCTGCTCTGTGAACTTCTCCCACCAGGCCCCTCTTACCCCACGCGTGTCTGTCCCCCTCGTTCTGTAGCGTTTGTACATAATAAAACAATGGAGTGGAGACAGCTCAGGCTCGCGTGGACTCCGGGAAGGGGGAATTCAAGCGGAGATTTCTGCCCCTAGAGACCTGTGCGGTTCTGAGCCCGGGCGGGGAATGGGGTAGGTACGGCCGTCCAAGCTGGGGCTCCAGGAACCGGGACGGTCTCACTGTCGGCGGAGGTCTTGAGCCCACTCTGGCTGCCTACGCCTTGACTGTGGCTGGTCTGCGTCTGCTCGGCTGCTGCGTTTGGCCTCCGCCTAGGGGCAGCGCTGCCGGCCCCGCAGACCCTCGCGGCCGGACTACAACTTCCAGCGGCCCCCGCGTGGTCCGTCCGGCTCCTTCAGGCGCTGGGCCTGCCGGGAAGTGTAGTTCCGAGGGTTCCTCCGAGCGGGACCTTCTGGGAAACCCTGGCGCGAGGCGTCAGAAGCTGTCGGACTGTGTGCGCCTCTGAACTTTTGAGGCTCGGCCCAGGGTGGAGTTTTTTTTTTTTTTTTTAGGGGGACCAGGGAGGACTCCGGGACTAGAGCCTCGGCTTCGGCCTCTTTGCGGCCTCGAGTGCCCTGTGAAATCAGTTCAGGCCGCGTCCCTCCAGCCTGCAGTTTCCTTCTGGTCATGTTGCTTCCCTCCAGGGCCTGTCCTCCAAGTGAGGGGGGACGGAGGGCGGTCACCTGCCAGAAGGTCTGGGGCGCCAAGGTGTGCCCTGGGACTCCAGGCTCCGTCCAGGTTCCAGGCCCCGCCCCCAGCTTATCCTTAGGCTGGGCTCCCCACCGTGGGAACGGGGACCAGCTGGCCGGAAGCGCCAAACTGCGTCCCTGTCCGAGCCCCGGGGATCAATCAGGCCGAGGAGTTAATTATGTAATGAGGGGGCAGGGGGTCGAGGCTAATGAAGCCGCCCGGGGTGGGGAGGGAGGGGAGAAGGGAACCGTACCCAGGTATCCGGCCCCCTCTCGGACCCCTTCGAGGCCCCAGGGGTCTCCACCCCAGCCCAACTCCAGGGCCCCAAAGAGGGGAGGGGCTGTGATCCTGGGTCTGGAAGGGGCTGAGCTGTGAGCTATAAAGGGGGCATCTCACAGCACCGGGGGCTCTAGGCGGCGGGACCTGAGGCCAGACGGAACTACAACATGTACCATCCACGAGAGTTGTACCCGTCCTTGGGGGCTGGCTACCGCTTGGGGCCCCCCCAACCCGGGGCAGACTCCAGCTTCCCACCTGCCCTAGCTGAGGGCTACCGCTACCCTGGTGAGCGTTGGGACCAGCTCCTGGGTAGGAGAATGGGGGCACTGTGGCCCTCAACTGGTTCCTCATTCTTTCCCGATTTCCAGACCTGGACACCCCCAAATTGGATTGCTTCCTCTCCGGGATGGAGGCTGCTCCCCGCACCCTGGCCGCTCCCCCACCTCTGCCCCTTCTGCCCCCTGCCATGGGCACAGAGCCGGCCCCATCAGCTCCAGAGGCCCTCCATTCCCTCCCTGGGGTCAGCCTCATCCTGGAGAACCGGGAGCTATGGAAGGAGTTCAGCTCTGTGGGAACAGAAATGATCATCACCAAAGCTGGGAGGTGAGGGGCTGGCCAGGGTCTGTGTTTCTGGTGGGGGGTCTCTTGGGAAAGGCAGAGTCCCTGGGGAGGGGTATAGGTCTGGGAGGTTCTCTAAGGGGGTAGAGCTCTGCCTAGGCTTAGCATCTATGGCCTGGGGGCAGGGGGTACTCTGGTTGGAATCAGGAGTCATTCTGTGACAAGGGTCAAGGGTCAGTCTGTAGAGTCTGTGGCTGAGTTTAGGGACCAATCTATGGCAAGGGTCATAGGTCAGTCTGGGGCAGGGGCAGGAAGTCCCGCTGGGTTATAGGTTAGTGTGTGGCCTAGATCAGCGTTCAGACAAGGACAGAGGGTCAAGGGCCAGCCCAGTGACCAGCATCAGGGAAGTCTGGCGATTTGAGTAGGAGTCAGTATGACTAGGTTCAGGGTCAGTATGTGCCTTGAATAGGAGTCAGTATATGACTAGGTTCAGTATCACCCTAAAGGCAGGGATGTTGGTCAGTGTGTGGCCTGAGTCGAGATCTTTATCTAGGGCAAGAGCTCAAGCCCTAGCATGGAAAGTCCTCAGCCCTACTGCAGGCAGCATATTTTTTTCTGAAGCAAGTTCATATAAAAGCTGCAGATCCTGGTGTTGGAGATCAGGGGAGGAGAGGAGGGTAGGGACACAAAGCTCCTGACAACATTTCAGGGAGAAAAGTTAGTCACCCCTGTTTTTGTAAGTAGGCTTTGAGAGGTAGGAATCACGGCTCTATTCCTAACCTGCTGTGTGACAGATCACCTAACCCATCTGTCCTGTTTCCCCAAATGTAAAATGAGACAAGAAAACCTTCCAGCGGGCCAGGCGCGGTGGCTCAAGCCTGTAATCCCAGCACTTTGGGAGGCCGAGGCGGGTGGATCACGAGGTCAAGAGATCGAGACCATCCTGGTCAACATGGTGAAACCCCGTCTCTACTAAAAATACAAAAAATTAGCTGGGCATGGTGGCGTGTGCCTGTAATCCCAGCCACTCAGGAGGCTGAGGCAGGAGAATTGCCTGAGCCCAGGAGGCGGAGGTTGCGGTGAGCCGAGATCGCGCCATTGCACTCCAGCCTGGGTAACAAGAGCGAAACTCCGTCTCAAAAAAAAAAAAGAAAGAAAGAAAACCTTCCAACCTTCCAGCTCTAAGATTCTGCCCTCTGGGTTCTTTTTTCCTTTATTATTATTACTATTTTTTTTTGAGACTGTTGCCCAGGCTGGAGTGCAGTGGCGTGATCTGTGCTCACCCCAACCTCCACTTCCAGAGTTCAGGCGATTCTCCTGCCTTAGCCTCCCAAGTAGCTGGGATTACAAGTGCATGCCACCATATCCAGCTAATTTTTGTATTTTTAGCAGAGAGGGGTTTCACCATATTGGCTAGGCTGTTCTGAAACTTCTGACCTCTTGATCCTCTCACTTTGGCCTCCCAAAGTGCTGGGATTATAGGCACGAACCACTGCACCTAGGCCTTTTTTCATTTTTTAGAGACAGGATCTTGCCTGTTGCCCAGGCTGGAGTGCAGTGGTGCAATCATGGCTCACTGTAGTTTTGACCTCCCAGACTCAAGTGACCCTCCTGCCTCAGCCTCTAGAGGAGCTAGAACTATCAGTGTGCACCACAGTGCCTCATTTTTTAATTTTTTGTAGAGATGGAGTCTCGCTGTGTTGCCCAGGCTGGTCTTGAACTCCTGGGCTAAGAGATCCTCCCACCTTGGCCTCCCAATGTGTTGGGATTAGAGGTGTGAGCCAACGCCTCCAGCCTGCCCTTTGGGTTCTAATTCCACCGCCCTGGATGTTTCTCTGACAGCCCTGGGGGGAGCCTGCTGCTATGTCCTGTTGGTGGTGCTGGGCTCACTCCTGGCCAGTGGGTAGCTCCAGGCCTCTCCTGTTCCCTCCCTTGCACAGGCGCATGTTCCCTGCCTGCCGAGTGTCAGTCACCGGCCTGGACCCGGAGGCCCGCTACCTGTTTCTTCTGGACGTGGTTCCAGTGGACGGGGCTCGCTACCGCTGGCAGGGCCGGCGCTGGGAGCCCAGCGGCAAGGCAGAGCCCCGCCTGCCTGACCGGGTCTATATTCACCCCGACTCTCCTGCCACGGGTGCCCATTGGATGCGGCAGCCTGTGTCCTTCCATCGTGTCAAGCTCACCAACAGCACGCTGGACCCCCACGGCCACGTGAGGCCCAGGCTGGGACTCCGGGATAGGGGATGGGGGTGCTAGAAGGGAGGTCAAGGCTGAGGCACAGGGCAGGGAATCATTCCCATTTCTTCCCTCCCAGCTGATCCTGCACTCCATGCACAAGTACCAGCCCCGCATACACCTAGTTCGAGCAGCCCAGCTCTGCAGCCAGCACTGGGGGGGTATGGCCTCCTTCCGCTTCCCCGAGACCACATTCATCTCTGTGACAGCCTACCAGAACCCACGGGTGAGTGCCCCTGCTTGAGGGGGTGGTGGCACCCTGCCCAGGCCACAGGAGCTTTGACCCTGGACGTGTGCTCCCAGATCACACAACTGAAGATTGCAGCCAATCCCTTTGCCAAAGGCTTCCGGGAGAACGGCAGAAACTGTAAGAGGTGGGCATTATTCATTCGCTCGTTCATGCATTCAACAAATGTTTATTAATCTCTCATGGTGTGCCAGGCAGTGCTGGACATCAGGAATGCAGTGGTAAGTAAAAACATTCATTCTCTGACTCAGCAAATACTTATTTAGTACCTGCTTTGTGCCAGGGACAGTTCCAGGCACTGGAAATAAATCAAAGCAAACCAAAGCCCCTGCCCTCATGGAACTGACATTCTAGTGGAGAGAGCAGACAAGCAGACAAGAGAAATAAATCAAATGTGGTCTGTGAGGAAGCTAAAGAGAAGAGAGACCAGGCGTGGTGGCTCATGCCTGTAATACCAGCACTCTGGGAGGCCGAGGTGGGTGGAACAGCTGAGGTCAGGAGTTTGAGACCAGCCTGGCCAACAGGGTGAAAACCTGTCTCTACTAATACAAAAATTAGCCAGGCGTGGTGGTGCATGCCTGTAATCCCAGCTATTCAGGAGGCTAAGGCAGGAGAATTGCTTGAACTCAGGACATGGAGGTTGCAGTGAGTCAAGTGCCACTGTACTCCAGCCTGGGCAACAAGAGTGAAATTTTGTCTCCAAAAAAAAAAAAAAAAAAAAAAAAAGAAAAGAAAAAAGAAAAGAGAAATAAACCAGGGAAGCATAGGAAGGACTGGGGTGAGGTATTAGAGGCCTAGAAAGGCCTCAGTGGTAAGAAAAAGAGCTGAAGGAAGTACAAGAGGGAGCCAGGTGGGTATATGGCAGAGCACACTAGGGAGTGGGAACAGTATGTGCAAAGGCCCTGAGGTGGGACTGTGCCTGTGGCGTGGCTGTAGTGGAGTGAGGAGTCAGGCAGGGGATGGAAAGCCAGGTTATGTTGAACAGTAAAGGTTCAGTAAGGCCATGGGAACTGTTCTAAGTGCAGCCCCTCAGA